TTCGGGTTCAAGAACAAGTTGCCAAAATTCAAGTTGGTCATAGACGATGGAGAAGAAGACACTAAAACACATCCCAGTGTCTTCGAACGAATCAAAGGGAAAGAACCAAAAAAGGACAAAAACGTCCTGTGTGCAAGGTGTAAAAGGGAAGTAAACGGAGACACGGAGAAACCAGGGACATGACAGCATCCTCATCGCCCTGCCTTCTTCCCAAACATTCAGCCTGGCAGAGGGCGAGGTACATCATTTTATAGAGGGCCACCTTTTGAAAGGCAGTTCAGGCCAGCAGATACTGGAAGAACATTTAGGCCGCAACCTCGCCGGCCAAATGTATGGCATTCATTCCAATACAGCGCAGGAAGGGCAATACCCTTCGATGAGCTGACTAGGACCCAGCAAAGGCGTTTCCAGCGAAACTACGGACGGATGATGAGGCAGCAACAAGGAATGCCACATCCTAAAGCGCCTCTATTACTCAAGGTAGCCAATCAGAACGTCCTCAAAAGTAGTAAAGAGACTGATACAGATGAATCAATGAAAGAACTGCCAGAAACCTCTTCTGGGAGGTCAAGGTTTGAGAGGGGCAAAAAGGATGAAGAAGATCCAGATCAGCCTCTTGCTATCCAATTCGGTACGTTGCCTCCTGTCGTGGCCAATAATTACCTACTGGCCAATGAATTCAAGAATAAAGAAAAGGAAGAAGAGAGGGAGGACAATGAAGGAGAAGCCTGCATGCTGGTACGTGAAGAAGGCCAGACTTCTGGAGAGGCCTACAACGATGAAGAGGACGATGGGATGACAGACATTGAAGAAGAAATCGACCTAGAAGCAGAAAGGAAAAAGAGGGGAGTATCGTGCAACACTCTGTTTAAGCAACTACACCAAGAGGGAGTTCGCGAAGTAGACTTGTTGGGGGAGTCATCTGGGCGTCCTTTTGACTTCTACGTATTATACGGGACACCCAAAAGGAAAAAGAGAGTACCTCGCTCTGAAAAGTATGGGTTACCTCCAAAGATAATGCCCCCTCCCACAGGTTGGATAACTGATGAGGAAGCATTAGAAAGAAGTAAGAAGGAAATTCGGGAGACAGAGGATCAGCGTGACATACTACACGTCGACCTATCACAAGGGGATAATTCGACAGAAAACAAGCAAGAAATATGAGGCGTGGTTTGGTAGCAGTGAAATGGCGTGTTTGGGGTTTATAAGGGTTTGCAAAGCGACGCACCTTTTCAAGTTATAGAGGGAACACAATGATTGAAATTCTTTGGGAATTTCGAACGTTGCTGGAAACGTGAAGTGAATATGGCAAAATTCAATAATTATTCTTAATTCTGCCATATTGGGGGGTAATTGTTGACACATAAAAATTCAGCCCAAGTCGAACAGCCCAAGGAGTAAAGCCCAATTGGAGAATCCCCAAATCGGATGGCCCAAAGAACGAAGTCCAATCGAACGAATCAAGGTGAAGGCCCAAACAAGGGGCCCAAAAATGCGGTAACATCATCGCCCAAGTTTGCAAGTCGCCCAGAATCTGAACGAACGGGTGTCATACGGTCGCCCAGAGCTGTTATTCTACTCTCGCCCAAACCTTCAAGTCGCCCAAGGTATCAACAAACATAACGCATCGTGGTTATCAAGGAATGCAGTTATCAAGGCAGTTGTTAAAGTAGCCTTATCACGTTCCACAACTCAAGGAATTCAATCGAAGGCAGTTGAACGATGAAAGATAATGGCAGCAGTTGAAAGGCAGTTTCATGACAAAATGGCCACTACAAAGAAAGTGGGTAGTTATAGGACGATCAAGCAGTTTTCAGAGTAGTTAATCACAAAGAGATCGTCTATGAGGTATAAAAGGGAGAAATGACGTAAAAGCAAAGGACCGAATCCAAAACTCTCGAACAGAGAATATGTAATTTTCATTTCCTTAGCTTTTAGACTTAAACACTTTTCTTTCTGTAACTCGTGTGCTTGCGCCCCTTGGAGGCACGTTGTTTTTCGTTTCCAATTGTAAAATTCATCGCCAATAAAAGAACACCCCTTTTTGGGACTTTGTCTCAAAAGGTTTCGTCCCTTACACAATCGTCTGATCCCTTTTAATTGTTAACGAATTAACCCGCGCGAAACAGATACACGTGATGATAAACAAATTTTCATAAGTTGGGGTTTTGGGCTGTCTGAAATTAGAAGAATGGCTGTAAATAGTAAATGCTGACGAAAAGAGTACAAATGTACAGATTTTGGATTTTCCATATGTCTATAACAATCCAAACAATTTGTTAAAATCTTTCCTTAAATATACGAACTCTTAAATCAATCTATTAAAAAATTTCCCTAAAATATATTTCTTCCATCCCATTTATATGGATTGACTTTTTTTATTTTTTTTGTCCCAATTATATAGTTATGTTTTTTTTATTGACCTTGTTTTGTTTGTATTTGCTTGACGTTTTTTCATGAATTTTTTTTTTTTAAAGTTGGTCACGTTAACATATTTTATACATTTTCTTTAGGAAAAGATATATTTTTATTTTCTAGGTAATTCACACACACTCTAATTTACACTCCTATCTTGCTCCTTTAATCACCAATAAAAGATGTACATGTATAAAAAAATTTTAGATTGAAAAAATTAAACTAATCAAATATATTTAATTAATAATTTTCATGCAAATAAGTTCAATACCTGAAACTTATTTTCTTTTCATGCAAGTTCCATACTTATTATCAAAGGCACCCTTTGAAGAATATTTCATAAATAATTAATAAGGTAATGATAGGTCAAAATTCAACATTTTGTCCTTAAAAAAATCTTAAATTATAAAGAGGCGGATATTGGCCATTTTGGTTCCACTAAAAAAGTGAATTAAAATTCAATTTAAAGTCAACAATTAATTTTAGCCACACATTTTATAGGACCAACAACTATTCAATCATACATTCTATCAATTTTTATTAAAATCTACTAAAAATCTGATTTTTATCTAAACCAAACAAGAACACAGTTAAGTAGATTAAGCCACCGTTTGGTAGCAAATTTTCATCCTAAAAAATTAATTTTTTTTACCATTATTTCACTATTTTAATCATTATTTTTTACTTCTTCACTTACACGTGGGACTCACTTTTCTTTTTAACGATCAAAAAATCAATTTTTATAATCATTATCGAATGGACCCTAAGATAATAGATTGTATAGCCACCATGCATGTGTTCAATGCTCATTCTTCGGCCGCAACTAAAATGATATCATCACTCAATTTTCATTTTTTTGTAAAGATGTAGTTAGAAATTCTACTTTTTTTTAATTCGACGTAGAAGATTTAAATTAACAATTTCCCTTCCCATCCCGCGCTGACCCAGCTCTTTGGATGTGACATTATTCACGACACTAGGCTCATTTTGGATCTCAACATTTAAATCGCTGGCCCTGCCTGGTTTGTTAGTTCCTTTCGAATATAATCCAATAATTCAACTACCAAATCAAGTGAACCCTGCTTTTTGGCCAGGGTTGAAATCAAGCCACCTGGCGCCCTCTATTGGAGGGACAGTTGTCAATATGGATTTTCTGCGAGTCGAGTAACCTTGCAACCATCCCCACCACGAGCTCTTCGACAATGACCAATCACTTCAATACGATAAAATCATTTAAAAAAAGGTAATGAACGTGTAAAGACAACTCAACAAACAAATTTGATTTGAAGAAAAAAATCTTTTAAGCTACTCGAGTTATCTAACTAGAGTTATGAGTATATATGATTGAGTCGAATTTGACCATTTGACTCTTGGCTTGCTATCGTTTCTAAGTCGATATCGACTTAATTTTCAAACCAGTATAGTACACATCCTCATCACCAAAACCTTCAACAATCTATCGTACTAGTAAAAAAAAAAAAAAAAAAAAAAAATGGATTCAATAATTTTGTGAATTTAGACATTATTTTTCATTCTATAATCTTATGTTTCTTTCCTTTCTTATTGAACGAATATATAGCGAAACGGGATGTATTAGGGTATTGAAAATTGTTAATATTTAATTGGCGAAAATAAAGATAATTTGGTTTATTTTAAACTCTTACAATAACTTGTAAAAATGGTTATTAAGACCTTACTTGAATGACAAAAATGCATTGACACTCGTTTGACTTTAAACCAACAATTAGTTTGCGAGATAAATTACTCATCTAAATTTTTACAATCATGCTACAGTGTCAAATATGTTGACATAATATTACACGACATTTTATCATTGAACTGTTTAAAATACATCCAACTTTTTTATCTAATTACCTGTTGTCCCTACACTTCTGTCACTACATTTGTCAAAATCCTTCAAACAAAGTGGCATAATCCAAATATCTATTGTTGGTAAAAAATTTACTTGCATTTCGTAAAATTTATAAATGGAGTTATATTTTCAATTATACATTCTAATGGATTCACGAATGCTATAAACTTAACACTCATTTCTATTTATTTATAAATTAAACATATTATAAATTCTTTCCAAATAGAGGCTAAAATATCATTAGCGTAGCTTTGATTTATTTTTGGTCATCATTACAAAAAGATGGTTAAACTGAAACAAGAATTAATCAAAGTTAGTCATCGATACGAATCTAAGTTTGCACCTCGAAAGATTGACTGGTAATCTTTCGATTATTTTTTAGCTCCCGTAGCATAGTTCTCTTCCTTGCCTTGTAGCCAACACTTCCTCTCTTACATTTCAATGTGTAAATTCTTTTAATCCCTGCTGTTACTTCTGCTACTGTTTTTCTGCTTGCAAAAATTGATAAAATATGATCAACTTGAAGCAGATTTATTTTGCCATTGATGTGTTGAATTCAGTTTATTTTCCTTCATTAATACTGTTCAATGCCATCCAGTCATGTCGACCAACCAACATGCTGAAACTGTAAAACTCTTCATGCCACCTTTCCCAGAAGATGAAAAGTGTTGGGAAAATATGAAAAATTCAGACTGTAAACATTTGCACAATATGATATAACACAATTGTAATTCCAATATGACAGTATAACAGCAGTTTGTAATTCTAGAGACCAGAGAAAATCCATCCACCAAGAAAGTACATATGTTTTTGCAACTAGCACATCATCCATGAGAGTGTAATTAAAACACAGCACGGAACTATCGTATACTTATTCCCAACAGTCGAGACATTGTAACATTACAAGGAACCTTTGTTCATGATTTTTTCATATATTTCATATGAGAATTTCTAGGCAGAAACTTGCGATTGCCAATAACCTACCTTAAAAGTTTATCTGTCGAAACTGCTCATCATGGCAAATATGGTAGGACTACTAACATGTAAGGTAAGCCCTTCACCACCAACCAAGTAGAATTGCTAGTAATTTCCTCTTGATTCCATCTACATTTTCCACCAAATGCCGATATACCTGAAGAGTTGTCCAACCAATCCAACTAGACAAGGTACTGAAGCTCGGAAAATTTCCAATTACTGCATTTATTGACATGATAAGCACAGTTCAACAAGTCTCGAGAACTTGGCACAAGCTGTAAACACAATGAAAGAGACAAAATGAAACAAACAATTGACCAACATGTCAAGAAAATACCCTAAAACCAAAAAAGAGGAACGAGAGGAGAGAGACCTGTTTGACAGCAAGTGCCCGCAACACTGCAAATACCAACCACGCTCCAATAAAAGTTAATAAAATCGGCGACTTTGCAAAACCAATGGCTGAAAGAATATCCCCAGACCACAGACATGTCCATAGTAATTGTCCACAACCTTAATACATAACAACAATTCAATTAGCAAAAGGTTTTTTAGGAAAATATGAACAAAATATACTGATTGCTATGTGGCATACGGTGACAAACTTGTCGCAGAATGGTGTTTGGACCACTGCCCAACACCAAAAAGTTAATAATATATATAGAATAAATAAATGTATCTATGCATCCATTTATATAATAAAATAAAAGAAAGAAGAAGATCAAAATTTGAAGGATAAGAGCTTAAGAGAAAGAAATCAGCCTACCATCAATACTCCCTAAATAAGGTCACACAAAGAAATGACCGTCCCAGAGAGCTTGTCCTTGATACTGCTGAGGCAGTGCAACAGATTGTTGGTCTTCTTTCTTAAGTTGTTGCTGTTGCTGCTCCTGATACACCTTCATATGTTCAGAAAACTGATGGTCCTGCTGCTTTTCACCCTGGATTTGCAGTGTGGAGACTTGCTTTCCAGGGAAAGGGAAGCTTGACATCCCCACTGAACTATTGTTCTTACTCATTGAACCAAACATCTGCCCGGAAGTATTAATGGAATGGTTAAACCCAAAACTTTGATTTGACGAGGACAACTGATATCCATCTAGCCAGCTATAATCATCCATTTTTGGAATTGGAGTATTTCCAATTTTCAAGGTCATACTATTCATTGAGTCATCCACAACTTTGGAAGGCACAGAACCAAAGCCAGGTGGAGGACCAACATGCCTAACAGGTCTACTCACTGGATTTTTCTTCAAGCCTGCTGACATGACCAAAGATGGTTTCACGTACAGACTGTCAGCAGCTGCTCCTGAAGAAATGGTAGAATCAAACTTCGATGATAAAGCAATATGAGAGGTCTGAATGGGATAACTACGACTTGCATCAGCATTAACAAATTGGGGATAGGGAACAGAAAGGGCAGCAGCCTGAGAAACTCCTAGATCTTGCAGATGAGGTTTCATAGCAGGCCTATTTTCCATTAAATTCAAGTGGGAAAATCCATTTACAACAGGAGCTGGCTCTACCAGCCACTGTGAAGTGCTGGGTAGGACTGGACGAAAATAGTGGGCAGAGCTTTGAGCAATAGTTGCAGGTGGCTTTATGCCTGTGCTTATGGCATTCTGCCAGAGGAAACTATCATGTCCTAGGGAAAACGATCCATTTTCATTTCCAAAATCAAACTTTCCTGCACCAGAAGCAGCCTCAGAAATTGTTGAATCAAAGTTGTTCATTTGCTTCTCAGTTACTGAAGGCTTGAACACGATCACCTCATCCTCGTCCTCTCCTTCCATACTAACATGTGGCACTGGCTGCATAGAACCCAGAGCCATTTGAGACCCAATTGAATTTTCTTGTGTGTTACCATTAGATTTTGGAACCTCAAAAGAACCCATAAGTGCATAATCATCAATAATTTGAGGTTCAACACCAATTACAAATTTCTTCAACTTTGCATCAAAATAAAATCCCTCCTGCCCAATCTGGACGACGTTAGAAAGAGCCTTTCCAGCTGCAAAAATCCTCTGGATGCGGATTTGTTTCTCCTTGCTGCTATCATCACTTCCAAAAGAAGGCTTCCTAGAGAAGTCAAGGATGAGTTGAGCTGGAAGAAGAGGAATAAATCCTCTCAATTCAAAGTCCTCAGACAACGCAAGACGGTTGACAGTCTCACTTTCATCATACTTGCTCATATTGGAGAAACATGTTTCATCTTTGTCTTCATTAAGAAACAAATATCCATTTGATACAAGCTTATTGAAGAAGGTAATGCAGTGATTCCAAAAAACAGACCTGGCATTCACTTGTTTATCCTCAATCTCACTGCCTACTGCAACATCATTACAACAGGCTAACCACTCCACAAAAACCATGATCCCAGGCAATAAATAGCTTGACGAGGGATCTGTTAACTGGTTACATCTTTCAAGCATGCAGGCCATAAATTCAAAGATAGCAGTAAATGAATTTTGAAGTAGAACTGAGCGTTGTAGAATATCCGCATATGATTGATTTTCATTTTCTCCTTTTACATTGTGAACAGTGAAAATGAGGATGGCCACCATCCTGACAATTGCAAGTCTACACTCAGCAGCATCCGATCCAAAGTTGTATTTCTCATCTGGCCCAGAAGATAGAAGTTCCACCAAATCATTTTTAACCACTGAGAAGACTTCCTCAAAAGTTTCCAAGCTGCTTAAACATAGTGATTAGATACGCATCAGTGATTAATTACGCTGTTCTCACAATATACAAATTACAGTAAAAAATTATGAAAAGACCTTGTACGTGTAAAAAGAATGCCATTTAGTCGAACGAAACGAATGCTGAAGGCTTTGAAGACTTCAGGTACAGTAAAAATGTGTTCCTTGACTGCACTTGAATCCACCTTATCATCCTTAAAAGAAGGCCTTGTTCCACCTTTACCTCTCCCTTTCCCAGGCATCCTGGAAGATACAGTCTTGAGTGAAGAAGCTTTAGCATCACCAAGTAGTTGGGTATAACTCTGCCGATTCTGCCAAATAGAGGAAAACTAAAGATGAGACCATAGGAGTGGTTGGAGGAGAGGATGCAGACATATTAAAGAATTAAAGCAAGAAAATAGTTCCTCACACAAAATCAATTTCAGCTAAATAGCAAGTTTTAGTTCATTTGTTCTCAATCAGCATAAAAACAAAAATTTCGCTCACTCATGAGAGCTATGTCATGAATGCATACTGTTTTACTGAGTTTTACTGAGAGCAAGCTAACTTACTGCATGCTCATAGAAAGTTAGCATCTCATTTAAAATATACCAAAACTAGTGGTCTTGTTTTGCACACATATCTTGCTGCATACAAAGGAAACTCAATTCAAGAATTTCACTGGACAGATGAAAACCGGCAAATCTCAAGATCCTGAGACCACAATCCACAATCCACAATCCATACATTTCCTCTTCTGAAAATATATAATTGTTGATGAAGGAAAAACTCTGGAAATGTTGGAATCCGTATCTGTAGAAGTCCATAAGGATGCCCAAAGTAAATATCTATCTCTCAGCTCAAAAACTTATTGCTCCTTTTCTTCAAAGATCTTAGAGCTTCTTTGTCCAGATCAACCAAAAAATAGCCGCCATCTTCAATTTCCACTTTCCACATGATCGCACCCTTTCTACCCTGACCAAAGCCAACCATATTTTCAATGATTAATCCATTACACTTGCTCAAGAACACCCAATTACCACCATCTTCCTGAAGAAGTTTATACGATAGACATTTTGCACATGATACCTGTGTGATGAATCTTTACCTTGACAAATGGATAGGTGAGACTGGGGAAGGAAAGTGTTATAGACTTGTTTACATGCAGAGTCAATATCTTCCAGAATGTAGTTGTCAAGTTATCTGCCATGTGCTAATTAATAAGATTATTGACTACCATTGATACAAAGAAAAAACTTCAACAGTATAAGTTTAAGATCACTAAAGAAATGCATTACATACTTTATATTGTCACACTTGTTCATCTACTGAATTTTTACCTTCTCAAATACAATGATCAAGTTATCCCGTGCAGTGACGAAAGGGTGGTCAACTGCCAAACTTCGAAAATAGCGATAGGTCGACACCAGTTCATCGTTAGAATATGATGCTAGTATAGCAAGCTGAAAAATGGAGAGGATAACACCAAGTTAATTACGCATAAAAGAAGAGTAAAACTAGAAAGTACGAATAAGCAATAGAAGGCTCTAAAATGATGTAAATTCAACAAGGCATCACCTGATGATGAGGATTACCACTTGACGGCCAAAGTGAGGAAGCTTGCAAGTAGTAACTTGATGCTGCTGCAAAAGCCCGAGCTTTAGAATCACCTTCCCCATATAAGCCTTTGTAACGAGCAAGATCCCCCAGATAAATAAAACAGCGATGACAGGATATCAAACCCTTTTTCACCTCAGAAAATTTATTTCCATCCTCAGACATGGAAATTTGATTCTCTGGATCATCAGAAGAATATCCCAATGGCAGACCATACTTCGCCCTTATCTTCAACATCAAATCATGATAAAATCCAGTGGCCTCCGAAAGGAAAGTCTTAAACTGGGAACGGATCTTTGAAGCCCGATCAGGTCCCCCTCGAGTTGGACCTTTCCCATTCTGAGAAGCAGCTAATCCTGAAGAAGCTAGAGCAGCATTTAAATGAGCCCGTAGTTCTTCAATCCTCCTGTAATGCAACTGCCACAAAGCATACTCTATGTCGTGTTGTTCAGAGAAAGAATGGTCTTCAAGGATAATGGCTTCATAATTTTCACGCATCTGTTGCCATGCATTAGGGTCTGAAGGGACTCTCGCCTGTGCTGCCTTTTTACGCTTGTTCTCCAACTCAACATTCTATAGTGAAATGGAGAACTCAGACAAAAGAACATAATCGATTGAAAAGTGTTGCGCAAACTTGACAATCATATATCTTAAACAGCCAGATTGAACAAGAAAAGGCTGAAATCATTGAGTTGATGTTCTAACAAAGAAAGTATGACTAGAGCGTTTTTGCCTATTTCTGTATATTACAAAATTTGCAGACATATGTATAACAATGAAATGCACAATGCCAGATCAAAATCCAGCACATAATAAGACTTCATTGAGTGAACCACATGCATACCTTGTCGAAGAGACGCAGAACACGCTCCCCTGCCGAAATTTCTTTATCGTTATCCATCGGAATGGTCACAATCCATCAAACCAAAAATATGCCACTTCAATAGCAACATATAACATTTAATCCACGGGAAACTGCCTGCAACATAGCCTCTTAATTATGAATGCGCAAGAACAACGAGGAAAATATTAACATCCATTATTATTAAGCACACTACTACAGGCAAAATAAATAAATAAATAAATAAAATAAAATAAAAACAACTTTAGTTACTTGATATATATCTGGGAATTCGAGTAAGAAAAGCAATTCTTAGGCATAGAATAGTCAGGAAGTAATAAATTCTAACCATAAGCAACTAGAACCACAATAATATTAAAATAACCGTGGCATTATTATGCATTTAATAGGTAATGTCAAGAACTACAGACTTAGATAGCACAAAAAGGCGTAAGATCACCAGAATAAGGAGCCAGAAACATCTATCCCATATTTGGACAATTCATAAATAAAAAATTGAAAAGCATGATAACATCGTGAGGAAATGTCAATATGGGGGTCACATTGTGCCCTATGTAAAAGATTGATTTCCCAATTAAGTCATTGCAAAGGTTAAGTGATATTAAGAGTTCACACTCAGTACAGCAATGGATAATTTTATTGCATTGACCGCACAATTCTATCCTTATTGGCAGTGGTCTTGCAACCGGGAAACTAATTGAAACAGATCTTACCCAATCACCACAAACTGATAGACCTGAAATTTCAGTTGTGTCCATAGTTTCAAAAGGTTGTTTGATGCTTATGCCTTGATGCACCCCTCAACTGAGACTTTCATGAGAAGCATTGAAGCATATGCCTTTAGTGCCTTTTTGAGGCTTACGCATTGATTTCCTGAGAGTTATGCTTGGAGGCATTAATGCCTGCACTCATTTGTCTTGCTGCTTATGGACTTATTATTTAATTTCAACGATTTTGGTTATTTTTGACAGGCTAGAATGTCTTACCATTTTTTTTTCTCTTTTCCGCTTTAAGGAGAAGACACTATTCCAAGTGGAAGGTGATGACAGAGAATCAGAAGAAATTGATGGTGGTGATTTTTATAAAGTTTCAAGATGATTTAGGGTTTATTATAAATGTATTTTCGTATTTTTATTTTATTTTATTGGTTTGCATGGTTTACACCTCAAAACACACCAAGGCTAAGGCCTTGTCTCTGATACATGGTTTGAAAAGGTAAATTTGAGGTGCACCTCTCAAGTTGAGGCGTATGCACAGTCCATCAGGGTGCAGGTAATTATGCTACATTTTATAGGCATGCGCCTCCTATTTAGTTAGAAATTTATTAATATGTTTTTCAAGATCTGAGATTCTTAACGTCAATTTTAGTGGGTTTTTATTGTGGGCCCACAATTGCTTTTCTTGTTTGACAAAACCTACCGTAAGATTACATCAAAACCCAAGACAAAAACAATAAAAAACCTTCTCTGCTCCTTACCTCCAACACTTCCCAATAACATAAAGAAGTTTTTCCTACAGTTCCAGTAACCAGCGAAGTCTCAAATCCAGCAGGTGATTTTACTATTCATTTCTGCAATTCATCTTTTTTTTTTTCTTTTTTTTTTTTTTAATCCTATTCTACTTTTTTTTTATTTTATCTTCCTTTTGGTTAGAGGTGAGGCTTATGCCTCAATCCGCCTCGAGGCTTAAGCCTCGCCTCACGAAGTCAGAATGTCACAATAACCAATTAGCACATTGTTAATGCAGAACACCGCAGTTATATCATTAACATTTGTCAAATTGAAACCCTAGGCATTTTCCATGCCTAAATGCTAACACTTATTTTATTACATACCTGTCAAAACTCAAATCTCATTATTACCCAATCCTAGACACTGACAATCATGGTATTACCCAATTGTCAAAATCAAACATTTTCCAAATGTAAAACTCCCATTTGTAGCCATATAGAAGACAACTGTATGTTAAAATTTACAACATTATCAAGTGGTGCAAACCAGACAAGCAAAAAGCTAAGAACCAGATCTGCAAAGGAAAAATGTATGTTTAATTTCACCCTCTAAAGCAAACACGAGAGTGTAAGACATCCTCAAAGGTGTCACGAATATTAAAATTCACTCTGTATTTTGTACGCTTGTTCTTAGCTAGGTAAATTTATTTTAAATGGGTTGTTTAAAAACGTAACAAAAATATCAAACCAAACTTGCAGTAACTAAACCCAAAATCAATTTCAACCTTTAAAAATCGACAGGAACACATGGATTTACATAATCAACACGAGGTTTATCCAGGTATATATACAGACAAACGTAATTGGGGGGAAAATTAGTTTTTGTTAAAAAAAATAAAAAAGCCAAAAACACCAAAATTTTCAGTTCTAAAAAACATAAAAGAAAAAAAAAAAGAGTTAAACAAACAATTGACCAGCAAATCCAGAAATTCAAAACCCCAAAATCAAACAACATTAATCAACTAAATCTGAAAAAAGTAGCTACAACAAAAAAAATAATAAATAAAATACAAATTTTGAAAAGAAACCCATCGGAAGTTCTTGATGAATCAACAAAATATTAATTTCCTAAAATCAACCTTACCCGACTACGAACCAAGCCCAGATCTGCAACGATCTCGCCCAAGATAATTCCAACTCAAGGAAACAGGAGAATATTTATATATACTTACATAAATACAAACAGAAAAACAGGGGTTAGGGTTTCTTTATTTCCATGAATTGGGTCTTTTTTGGAAAATTTGTATGGGTTCTGTTATGTAGCCATAAATTTTGACGAGGAGATGATGAACAACAGGTATAGATATTGGAAAGAGGATGGAAGAGGGGATGACTTTTTTCTTTAGTACTTGAAATTGATTGGGGTAATAGGTTGCTGCTAAGTTTCTTCTTGACCTGGTCTAGACGGCCTAAGATACCACCCCGACCATTTTTTAAATATTTTCATCATTATTTAAAATTTTTGAAAAATTATAAATTGGCTTTAAAAATCGACTCACTATTTGAGCAGTAAGTTAATTCTTTTGTAATTTGAGTCGTAAGTCACTAAGTTGATTCCTAATAAGCAAGAAGGAGAGAGTTGGATCTCGACTTTTCCTTGCAATTGCAAAGAGAATTGACATGGAGATGATCCACCTTTAATGTTCAATTTTATAAAGGACGTATTCTCAATTTATGCTCATATATTTGAAATGCTACTCTTTGCCGTGATTTTGACAAAAAATTGGACATTCTGTCAATGAAAACGAATTGTTTGACAATAATAAAATTTCGAGATTCGATTAATTTATTTTTTAAGTTAAATAGCAATTTGCTTCTTGGACAATAAAGTAGAAACATATTAAATTATAATTGCTCCTCGAACAAATAGTTGGGAACTATTGTTCCAGTTGTCACTTTACAATGTTAATCACTTAATTGTTACATTCTTCTTAAATTCTAGTGTCTATTTTGTATTAATATAAAAGAATGTCTAGTGTACTCACTTATAAAAAGAAATTAGTAGTCATTATTAAGATAAGTTCTTGGGGAATCCCAACTTTCCTAAATGTCGCAGCCGTATTCCAACCTTTCACTTTGGGACTCGTATCTCCAACCTTTTAACATGTACCCGCATTTTCGAAAACGAGTTAAAATTTATAATTGAAAACGCAAAATGACTTTTTAGTGTTTTTAGTTATAAATGTCGAAAACGCTCAAAACGTGAAAAACGAGCCGTGTTCGAGGAAAACTAAAAATCGTTTTGAAAATAAAAATGGAAACCAACCGCACCTTAAGCCTTTGTTTGATCTCCATTTTGAACGAAATAAGGCAATTTAAATAAGAAAAAGTCCGCATGTAGATAATTATTGAACATAATATTGTCCATAATGTAATGTGACAATCATCCGATTGTTGATGTGAAAATGTGATATTTGAATTAAAGGTTAGATCCAGTGTCACATGTAATTATGGACATTATTATGTAGATAATTATATACATGTAACACTTCTCTTTGAATAATATATTGATGAAAAATAAGTGATTAAAAATTTTTAAAAAAATTTACGTGTAATATTATTTTATTGAAAAATGTATAGTTGAAAATAAGTTTTTAAAATATAAATTTTTAAAAGAATGAGAATGAAACAAGGACTAAATGTATCACGTGCCAATCATAGCAAATCACACTCTACCCATTGGATAAGGAGATCATTCTTAATTGTAAAATTAAGAAAGAAGCGAAGGGCCAGAGCTCCTACATCCTCCGTAGAGGAAAAAAACAAAGAAAGACTCCCAGTATATAGGGATCACATTGATAATCTCAATCCAACCTTTATGCTCATGCAAAGCAGCTACACAGTCGTAGCTCACAACTCTTCCAACGCCCCTCCATACAACACCTATTGTTAAAGGTTCATTAAATCCCAAATTTCAACTTGAGCTACCTTAGCAACTTAGCTTACATTCTGCTAGAAAAATATTTCAACAGAGAAATAGTATGACTGATCAATATGGCTTGGGATTTCTCAGTCCCCCGTGCAAAAAGACGAATCCTATCCATTCAGATAGCCCATAACAGCAAGCAAAATCGCCTCAAAATGCGAATGAGAGCAGCCAAAATGAATGTCAGGTAACGACTCTTCAATGTCCAGTGAAGGGTTTAATCCTCTCCCACCAACTAGAAACTTTCAAGACAACATTGTTCACCTGATAACAACAAAAAATAGAATGAGAATTGGAGTTACAAATATTATTGCAAGGACATTCTCGAACCATATTCAAATGCCATGGATGTTAGAACTAGGGGAGTAAGCAGTTCGATTTTACGAATTTTTTTTTTTTTTACAGATTTTCAAATTAAACTGTTTAAATCAGTTTGAGAAAAATCCAAACCTAAGCTAAACCATTTTAAACGGTTTGAAAAAAATTCAAACATAAACCTAACGATTTGGTCACGTTTTAAACCGTCGGTTTCGCTGTATATTTTTTTCTGTCTACTTTTATACTATCAATTTATTGAATTAAATATATATTTATATCTTACTAGCAATAAATTTAAAACAAACTAAATATATCTACTATAAATTTAAATACCAACTAAATCAAAGTGAAATCACAATAAACTAAAACATAGTTTTTTATTCGTCATTTTTAGGCTAATGACGTTTCGATAACGTTACAATAAAACTCTACTAAACTAAATATAAGGCCAAAAGTATTAATGATATCCAACAAGTCATGATCATCATACTTGCAAGAAAAAAATGTTATTGATTAGACAGAGAGAATAATCAACCACAATAATAAAGCAGTTGCTTATAATATCTAAACATAATAATTACACAAGTTTTACGGTTGTATGTTGGTACGAACTTAGTTTCTTGCATGTACTCAAACATCAATTGTTGTCACACATGATTCATCGTCTGTATAGTCAAACAAATGCATTCATTACATTATCATAGTACTACATAGATAAGAGAATCTTCAAAAATATGGTAATAGAAAATATAAATCACTTGCCACAACTTTCATTGAATCATCCAATGCCTCCACTTCATTTAAATATTGGCGCAGCACTATAGGTTCCATCTTAGTTTGCAACCAATTCTTTCTGCATATACAAGCCTCAACCATTCGTGCACTTAATTAACTCCTAAAGGAATCAAGTATCCGACCTCCAATTGAGAATGTAGACTCAGAAACAACTGTAGAAATTTGAATCTCTAATACACCTTTGACAATTTGGGAGACAACATTATACTCAAGAGCATTTAGTTTCCACCACATCAAAATGTCAAATGGCTCCTCAATCAAATCATCACATCGGTCGGACAAGTAATCTATCAAATCATTTTTCTCCAACCTAGCATCCAAATTAAGTCTCGCTTTAGAGATTGAAGGGATGGGTCTAGAAATACACAAAGCAGGTTGTGGTTGACTTTGACTACCAATTTCAGACATCTCATTTGATGGTGGATGCTTCATTTCCTTGTAGTAGTTATATAACCCGTGAATTGCATTTTCTACTTTTGCTAACATCTTCTTAGCAATTTCTTCATTATGCATGATTTCAAAGACAATTTTAAGCAATTCCAACTTGCAGCTCAGGTCAAGAACTGTTGCTATGAATAACAAATCATTAAACTTTTCATGATTGCCCCCAATACTTATCATATTTTTTTCGCATGCTAATAGTCATTTTTCCCATCAAAACTATTAGGATCTTTAACTAATTCATTGAACTCCCTATGAATTTCACAAATCTCCGGAAAAAAGTGTTAGATATTACATATAAAGAGCCACTAACTTTCAATGTCATATCACAGAATGATTTAAGAAACTTTACTAAAATTTGTGCTTGATCCCAATCAAATGAAGTGGGTGAACCATTTCTTTCATCGCCTCTTCTCTCTTCATCAAAATACTTTGTATAATTTGCATTACTTTTTAAAGCACCAAATGCTTTTCTAAATTTCATTACAGTGTCTAACATCAAGTATATAGAATTTCATCTAGTAGTCACATCCAAACACAACAAAGCTCGAGACTCAATATTAACCTCCTTGCAACTCTCCTTGAAACTTTTCAATCGTACTAGGGAAGACCTAGTAAACCTCACAGCATTGCGAATTGATGAAATAGAACTACTGATTTCTTTTATACCATCACGAAACAATAAGATTGAGAATATGAGCACAACACCCAATATGAAGCATTTCTCCATCAAGAATTAGACCATGTTTATTCTCCTGAAAACTCTATTTCAATTTTGATATTGCAACATCATTAGATGAGGCGTTATCGACAGTCATACAAAAAAATATTTTTAACTTCCCAATCACGAAGACAAGAAATCAACTCCTTGGGTGGGTCAAGGAAAAAATCTAAGAAGGCTTGTTCGAGTTCTCGCAGTAGAATTAGTGTAAATGGTAGTAATGTTCAAACGAGTTTCTTGGGTGGGTCAAGGAGAAACTGGGCATCCTGTATTAAGTCTGTTCTTGATCGTGAACGGGTCAATAGTGCCTCACAACAATCCTCTGATCTTAAACCCAAGGTGGATTGACTTTAGATCTCTATAGACTCTTTGTTTGTGTTATTAATTTTATTTATATTTGGAGGTTATAATTGTCTTTGATATTAGTGCAACGGGTTATTCACTTATTCTGATTAGTATTTCTCTCCACTTTTTTGTGGTTAATTTGGTATTATACCGTGAGTTGTTCTAATGATTCTGAGGTTGCTTTAATTCTCTCTCCTTGTGGATACGCGTGCCTGCATGAATTTGAGTTTTGGTAGATAAGAGTTAGAGATCAGTGATTTTGAATGATACCTTCTTCTCAACAATTACTTATTGAGTTGAAAAAGGAAATGTTTGTCAAACATTTATTGACGCTTTTACATGAAAAAAGATTTTTGAGTCTGTAAGTAAAGTAGATACAGTTGGGATTCCCATTATTCGCATAAATGATATGTTTAGGTGTTTAGATTTGATTATTACAAGGAAAACTTGACGAGAATCAATGCATAGAATTAGAAGAATTACATGAAATGCATATTAGGTTTCTATGTGACTAGAAGATCTTAACAAAGTTAAAAAGAAGTATACAAAAGTCATTAGTCCAGACATGCTTTTTAAAACTGTGTGTTGGGATGTTAAAAGTCAAAACTACTACAAGATGAACGTAGTGGAATGAGGACATTCAGAGGAATGTGAATGTCTAAATGAGAAATAAACACTTATATGAAGATGTGGCATAAAGCGAGGATAACTTAAGGATGACTCATGTGGCTGGGTCACATCTTGGCAAACCTAAAGAATCTCACATACAGTAAAATAATGCTAGTAGAACTGGGTAAAGAGGGGGTAGGATTAGTGGGCTGGACCAAGATGAACATGGTCCCATGGGGTTACGGAAGCCATATTTATAGGAAATTGAGGCTTAGTTTGTTGTTGATACTGAAGGAGTTGAAATTCTTATTTCCAGTATTTATTTGTTTTCTTGAGGTTGCAAGGGGCTTAATCCTAGCTGTTGGTTAGTTGCAGCCGCACTCTTAAGTAATGCTTCTTGAGGTAGTTTACTGTTTCAGGACATCTCCTCTCTTTCTTGGTCATTTATATTTTAAGTTGCCCCCAAGTATCGAGCTAAAGTTTCCTCAATCTTTTGTTTGTATTTGTAGGGTATAGTTACATCGTAAAACTCATTACCATTGTAAAAGCTCATTTTATTTTAATTTTTTTTATTTATGTTGTTTGTTTATTTATGCTTTCATTTTGTTTCACATTCCTTCTATCATATTTGCCTTTTGCTTTTTGTTTTTTTTTTCCTTCCATAAAATGTAATTAGAAAGGTTTTTATTTCTTGGGGGAAACATTTGAAGCTTACAAATATTACTCTGTTTTATTATTATAGACAATAAAGATGTAGATATGTTTTTCGTACTGCATTGAAATTTAATAGATATTGAAGATCATCCTTGTTATATGAAGTGCTTTATATGCTGCTGTTTATCCCTGTGAATTTGTTTATACTTTTAGGCTGCGAACTTGGACATATTATCTGAGAGAGGGGCATGTGGAGTTGGCTTTATTGCCAATTTGGGTAACAAAGCATTACATGAGATTGTTAATGATACTCTACTGCTTTTGGTTGCATGGAACATCGTGGGGGTTGTGGAGCAGATAATGTTTCCGGTGATGGTTCTGGATTGATGACTTCAATTCCTTGGGAGCTTTTTGACGACTTGGCCAATGAACCCTTATAGGTGCTTTTGACCGATTGCACACTGGTTTGGAATGATGTTTCTTCCAATGGATGATGACCTGAAGAAAGCAGCTCGAACAGGTCAGTTAATTTGCATCTTGAATCCTAAATAATATATGTCTGCAAGTTCTTATTTGCTATTGTATTTTCTAATAAATGATTAGTAGGCTACTTTAAACATAGAGATAAGGGATTTTATGTTTTCAACTTTTGTACAATTGTTTCGTTGAACCATCTCGGCTAAAAGTTGCATACCCCCCCATATGTAGTCCGGATTTAGTTTTTACCAAAGGCATGATAAGTGCACAATATGTTTGAAGCAGTGAGTTTTAAACTCAGATGTCTTCCTAATAAGACACTATGTTAAATCATCTCATCTAAAAGTTTAAACTTTTAGAGATGCCATATTTATGTATTTAAATCTTGTCTTCAACATGTTTAGAAAAGGAAATTATGATTGCTAAAGAGATGGTATGAATTTTACAGACCATAGGGAGGAGATCAGTCGATGAAGTGGGGATTTGTCTTGAAATTAAACTTTTATTATCACTGGACAACTTTGCCTGTCCTTTTTGGGTTTGAAAATTGTTTTTCCATTTTTCTGTTGTTACTTTTGTTTATTTGTTTTGGTTTGCCTACCACTATAATGAGGATGAGCAATACCTTGGGATTTCCATCAAATCTGCCGGGTTCTCAGGCATGCCCATCTGTGTTCGTTCCATTTTCATTTAGAGAAAAAAGCGTGGAGTTTTTTTGGCTTCACAGTTTTCATTTAAACTTCTTATCAAGTTAGAACAAATAACACATTTAATGTTCTTTGGTATGCCACATTCATCATTGCTAATGATGTTCCAAGAAAAAGAACTCCATATTTAGCCCCTGTATGGGAGCGATTTTGTATCAAATTTTTAGCCGTTACACAGTGTATTGTTAGCGAATTTTTAGCCATTATTACTCTAGCATTGAATCCTGATGAATTTTTTTTTTTTTTCTCTTTCAGGTCACAATCTGTCTTCTGATCTTTAGCTGCTTATGTAGTGAAGTGCTCGGATTGAGTTCTGAACCTGTAAATACTTCTATAGTTGGCCCTAATGCCCAAGAAACCATGTCGAATATACAGCAGGTCTTTGTACAAATTTCTAAAGAAGATATTGATGGTATTGAAAGAGAGCTGTACATTTGTAGGGAATTGATTGAAAGAACAGCGAGTACAGAAATATGGGGAAATCTTTATTTTTGCTCATTATCAAAGCAAACTATTGTTTACAAGGGAATGTTTCGTTCCAAGGTTTTCGATTTATTTTATTTGGATCTCAAAGTGATCTTTATAAATCTTCTTTCACTATTTACCACCGAAGATGCAGTACAAAGACAAGTCCTATAGATGGCTACTAGCTCAACCAATGAGGTTCCTCGGTCATAATGGAGAGATCAACACTGTATAGGTAAGATTTTCCAAAAGTGATAATATTTCGTTTTTACTAGATTTTTCATTGTATTAAGGGAAATCTTTATGCAGGGTAACTTGAACTGGATGCAATCCTGGGAGACATCACTAAAGTCTCATGTTTGGCGTGGTCGTGAAAGTGAAATCCACCCTTCTGAAATCCCGTCGCATCTGACTGCAAATCTTGATAGTGCTGCTGAAGTATGCCCAACTGCTTTTACAGTCAAATAATTCCTGGTTCATCCTTAGAAATATGCTGTCATTGATATGACTTTTACATGGGAAACAACCAGTATAGAAAGTTGAAAGTGAATCTGGGAGATAGTCCCATCAGCAAATATGTTATTTCTTATAGAGTGTTCGAGAAAAAATTATCTAATTTTCCCTTAATGTGACTTGTCGTAGGCTAATGAGGTAAATTGTATGGATGAATAACATTGAAATGTCTCATCCCAATGCATGAGTTGAATGTAAATTGAATTATTGATTTGTTGAATCTTACATGATCTCTTTAGCATTTATATCAAGGATTATTTTTTTTTGCACGATATTTTTGTTTAGTTCTTTAGGTATTGCATTGTTTTTTGAGAGGCCAATTGGTTTCTACTGTATGTTTGATGCAAACAAGTAAAAGTTCTGTCTTGGTCCAAGTGAGGATAGAATTTCTCTTCTGCATGTCCATGGAGTTTTGAAAAATCCAAACATCTCTGAGAGAGATAGAGAGGTAATTAGAAATGGCCACGATCCTGAGGAAGCGTTGATGCTTCTTGCCCCATAGGCATACAAAAATCACCTGACATTGACATTCAAATACCCTGAAGTATTATATTTCTTTGACATCTATATACATGCTTTTGGTAAAGATTGTCTTAATGCAGCTTCATTTATCACCGAGAGCATGTCTGGCTTAAGCTTGGTGTTTTTTATATCCCCTTTTTTCTTTAATACTTTTTATGGAATTTTGGTATAAAATCTTACTCTTTTGAGTAATTCTTTATCTGACCAGAATTGACCGTATTGTTTTACCTGATTTCAAAGCGGCACCTCCTTGAACTAATAGATTAATGAGGAATTATAAAAAAATGTCACTTTTTTTGAAAATGCATCAAAATTTGCATGTGTACATAATTTTATAAAAAATGTCACTTTTTCAACTAGAAATGTTCAACTTACCATTTATTTCCCCTTTTTAGGAGTATCTAATGCTAGCTTTTCAATCCAATTAATACTATGATTTGATTAGTTAAATTTATATATTATAATCATGGATATTTAAATTTATATATTATAATCTATGGATATATGTATATTCTATTGTATAATACGAATTTACAAAAAAAACAAGAAAAGATAAAAGTACAAAACCCTATTTAACAGTCAACCAAATCTCCTCCAACAAACCCTCACTTCATCTTTCTTCTTCATTCCTTGATCAAGAATACACAGCTATTAGATTCATCAGCCATTTTAAGAGGTAAGTTATTACGAATTATTTATATTTTTATCGAATAGCTTTCTCTTTTTTAAATGTTAAAAAAACAACAGGATCATCAAAGTGAAAAATGGTTTTGAAACTCTTATTAATCATGATACTCTTAATTTGTGAAATATTTTTGAAGGGAAAAGATACCAAAAAGAAATTTAAAAAAGATTTGGGCAAATGTTAAGTATGACATTCCATATTTAATGAAGCATTCAGTTATTTATTTTTGGACAGATGTTATGATACTGTAGTTGTTGTAGTTGTGAATTCGCTATAACCATTAATGTTTCGAATAAGGTACCAAACACGTTTGAAACTTCTCGACATTTCGGAACTGTCGGGTTAGACATTTTAACTGTCGAAATCGACAGTTGAAAACAGTTGATGCCCTTTATTTCACCTTATGTTTTTGCATGAGTTTAAATATTCGAAAGTGCCACTTCCATACTATTACATATTGACATATTTATTGTATAGAATTCTTATCATTCTAATCCCAATATTTTAGGTATGGACAATCATTTCAGATTTATCGTCTCATATGGAGGAAAGCTCATTCACGTGGATGACGAATGGAAGTGAACAGGGGACAAAACCACTTCCATTTTAGTGTCGAGAAGTATTACCCTAGCTGAACTTTTGTTACTATTGAATGACAAACTTAGTTCTATAAATCCGCGCACCGAAATTGAATTGAAGTTTAGAGTTCCGAACTTCAATTTACCACCTGTCGAAATACGTGAAGATGAAGACCTAATTTGGTACAAATCTGTTCATATGAAAACTGCCATTTGCATTACTATTTTGGAAACTGATCTGCCGAGTGTTGACATAGGGAGAGATACAAATTTGCATGACCCTTTGTTTGGAGCAGCGGATGTTCCCCACAACGTACAACACAATGACATCCATCATGAGTGTAACGCCCCGACCTCTAGTGGACCGGAACGCTATTTACTTTACTCAGCTTAACCGGTGGTTTAATAACAAGTGTATACGTTTTAGCGGAAGCTTACATCTTCGGATAATAATTTAAATAACAATACTTCAAATACTTTAAAGAAAAATACTGAATCATTTTTCAAAACAACAAAATGTAATTTATTTGAAGAAAACATAACTTGTTCTCGCATTCTGCGTTATTCAAAACTTTAAAGAAATAACATTGGAAAACATTTCATAAAAATAAATCTAAATCACTTATTTACCGGATTTCCATGGGCTCGTTGCATCACTCTTCAACTTCTCCTCCATCCATGCCCGAGGTAGAATTTCTTCAATTTGTAGAGATGGGATTAAACTCGTGAGTTGAAAAACTCAATAGGTGTCACAGGTGCATTCGTGATCGAGTTATACATTTCAAAATATTAACTTTATAACTTTTTATACATGCCGTACCAGGAGGCACCATTTGACATGAAGGGGTATGTCGTACTGGAGTACCATTTGATATACCACCATTAACATAGAGGGATATTCCGTACCGGAGTACCATTTGACATACAAACATTAACATGAATCGAAACTTGTAACTTAACACGATTAAACACATTGCACCTCTACCTACCTTGATTGATGCTTTTGAAACTTTGAAAACTTGGATTGAAAACCTCGATGAAACTTGGATGTTGAAAGAAATGCACTCCTTGGATGTTTCTACGAATTCTTGTACTATTGGTACGTCTTCAACCTTTATCGTCTCCTGTTTCTCTCCTGAGATGTTTACTAAATATTCTTGATATGTTTCTTTTCTCAGCATCTTCTCAGCCTATAAAGCCGATACTAGTCGAATAAGGAGTTTTGTCTTCATTCCAAGGAACGAAAAATGGTTCCTTTCCTGGTTTCTGAAATGATAGTTCCATTTCCTTACATCGGATGGTGGCGTAATTACAACCTATGGGAAGCTATTACAAGAATTTAAATCGAATCCCTATAAGTTCTACGAATCTTCTTTGGTGGGGCTTCATCTTCGGAGGAGTCTTCCGCCTCAGGTCTGGACTCTATGTCCATCTCAACCTGTGGCTCAGGCTCAGGATCATTCTTTAAATCATCCTCGGGTTCTTCTTTGGGATCTTCTTCCTCAGCCAAAGGTTCCTCCTCAGGCTCCTCATGGATTACATCATCCCACAAATCAATCAGGGCATGGTAATACCTCTCAAACTCGAACAAGTTTGGGTTGCCTTCTAACATTTCATCCCTAATCGTGACTCCCATATCTCGCCATTGAGGTGGGAGGGAGTGTGTGAGGTTATTTATGGCCTCAATATGCGTGATCTCCATACCAGCATTAACCGCCGTCATGCATCTCTCATAGATGTCATAAACATGTTCGCTAAGCGGTCGAGTTGGATCAGTTACATAGTTTTCATAGGAATGAATAGCAGTTCTACAGTTCAATGCTTCTCTATATGCCCTAGCCGTTCTATGAGCCATATTTGTTGCATTTTCACATACATCATACTTTTTCTTTGCTTAAAGAAAACATGCAAATATTTAAACTTTCATATCATGCAATTTCCTTTAAGCCCTTAGCTTTTGCCCAAGTCCATTACATATCTTTAAATAACACATCTCTAAATCATATCAAAACATCATAACATAAACATAATCATTAAATTTAAACATGAACATACCTGGGCCATAGGATGAGATTGATGGATGGATGCACGATGCCATGGAATACCTTAAATTTTTCATTTTCCTTTTGTTTTAAAAAAAATATTTGGTCTACAGAACCGGCTAAACCTTGCTCTGATACCACGTTGTAACGCCTTGACCCCTAATGGACCGGAACGCTATTTACTTTACTTAGCTTAACCGGTGGTTTAGTAACAAGTGTATACCTTTTAGTGGAAGCTTACATCTTCGAATAATAATTTAAATAACAATATTTCAAATACTTTAAACAAAAATATTGAATCATTTTTCAAAACAACAAAATGTAATTTATTTGAAGAAAACATAACTTGTTCTCGCATTCTGCGTTATTCAAAACTTTAAAGAAATAACATTGGAAAACATTTCATAAAAATAAATCTAAATCACTTATTTACCGGATTTCCATGGGCTCGTTGCATCACTCTTCAACTTCTCCTCCATCCATGCCCGAGGTAGAATTTCTTCAATTTGTAGAGATGGGATTAAACTCGTGAGTTGAAAAACTCAATAGGTGTCACAGGTGCATTCGTGATCGAGTTATACATTTCAAAATATTAACTTTATAACTTTTTATACATGCCGTACCAGGAGGCACCATTTGACATGAAGGGGTATGTCGTACTGGAG